AAGTTGATATTAAAAAAATGCATGGGTTTCTGATTGACAATATCCAATATGTGTTTTTGGAGACGAAGTCTTCCAACAATCTATTTGAACCCCCTTGTTATTAGAAGGGCTATGTTTGTATTCGTATAGAACAGAATTTGTCCAAAATCTTGACATGAAAAGGAGAAAACACTTGCTGTTGCATTCAACTTGACATTTACAACAAATTTAGATATACCGACAACATATTTTCGATAAACAATGGTATTTTCCATACTTATGTCGATACGAAATATCCCGGTGACCTTGAAAAATAACATGCCACAAAGTCAAGTCTGACATATTATCAGTTTCAGATTTAGATATTTTACTTGAAAAAGACGTAAAATAAATGACAATCTAACAACCAAGCTTTATGATGAACGTGACGACTTTAACTTTTTAATGGCCAACTTCCCTTACAGCAATTTACCTTCATCATCTGCATACGGGGTTTATATTTCACGCAAGAGAATGCTCCAAGTATGAACTATTTTTAAAACGAGTTAAGTTATAGACAAACAAGTTGTTGAAACAAGAATTTCAGCAATCTCGTTTAAAGTTATCGTAAGTTCTATGGTCGATACAATGATTTTGTCAGCAAATACAATTTCTCATTAAGTCAAATGCTGACTGACGTTGAGGTTTTCTCACTTATTGTTAGGCCATTATATATACACTGAATTGACAACGGGTTTTTTCTTTAATTATTTCCCGATTATGACAATGAGCACAAGGCGGGTGTGACCTGCCAACAGGGGATGCCCACTCCTCTATAGCACCTAATCCCACCTCTGATGTTTTGGAGGTCCGTATGTGTTTGCTCTGCTCCTTTATTGTTTAAGGGACTTTTAAGCTTGAATCCTTTTCGTTATCTCCATATACATGTAATACGAAAAAGAATCTTTTCTCGATACTTTCTTAAAGCAGATTATACTGAAGTTCATCTAAATGACCATTTAAAACTAAATACTTTTTGTATAATATTATTTGATTGACTTTTTAATTAAAGTAATTACAGTGGTTAACAGTAACAATAATAAAGTATGGCAAAGGGGAATCTGGGTGAACACAAATCAAAATGGACCTTCCTAGCACTTTTATAGCGAACTTGCTTGACCAGGTCCATAAATTTCAAAACTCTTCATTGTAAAGTTTATAACCAAGCAGTCTGTTTGCTTCCTACACTAGTGTAAATGCCCACGAGTGGAGAGATTGAATACGAACAACTCTGACCTTCGAGTTTCACGTGTATTTGAGAAACTTCAACCCTTGCTACACAGTATAAGCTGCCATACGGGGGCATCAGTGTTTCACCAACACATCAGAGAAGTTTGTTCTTTTAAATTCTTTTCATTGTAAAATATTTACGATTATATTATACATTGTATAAGCAAAAATAGTAAACATTTCATTAAGTCAGAAACTAGACAAGTATTCCTAGTTCAAAACAACTCTAGAATATCTTGTGTTTGTCAGTCTTTAAAAAGTAACGTAGTTAGCTAAGTGTTTATTATTATATAGTCTTTTTAAATGTGGACTATGCATAAATTGTATTTCTTTTAAATTATATACATGTTCCACTGATATGAATAATGCTTATTCAGAATGGAATTGAAGAATGTGTTCAAAATTGTTAAAAAGATAGACTACAGTAGAAGATGTTTATTATAGTAAGAAGATACACAAATAAAAGAACAATCTTAATTTCACTCAAAGCATTACATACATGTATACACACGCAGTATAATGAAAATATTAAATAAACATATACTAGTATTCTTGTATTATGTCAAACATAGCCATTGGCACTTTATGATGCTTAATATAATAATGTTAAGAAACATATTGAATGATGTCCATACAATGCAAATGTAATGCAATTAAAATGCTTAACTTCCAACGAAAATAAAAAAAAATAAATGACTGAATTATTAGCATTTTCAGGACAAATCATTAAAAAAGAAAGTTTCTATTAATATATCTGATACATGTATAAAGTGAGGAAATAACTAGAAAAAACAACAAGCAGAAGAAAAAACATATCCCCGAAAAAATCTAACCAAGAAAAAAAGAGAAGTAAAAGTGCTTGAAAACTCACTATCCAACAAAAAGTGTTCACTTAGGATAGGATATTCAGCAACTTTTTAGGAAACCTTTTCCCTGTTATTTTTACACAATATGCACTATTACAAACAAAGATTCTATCAATGATGGTGTGATTGTTTTCTCAAAGTATCTTTAATAAATAAAAAAAAAAACAATAACTGCAACAATTACAGTGATTAACATGTATACGGGTACTTTAATCATGCTCTATATTAAGTAAAACTGTGGAAAAAAATATCTTGAAAGCCTCAACAAGCAGATGTGCTACAATGTAAATCAGTAGATTTGCCCAAATTCTTTCAGCAAAACGAATACTTTCAATTGAAACTTTACTTTGCATATAATAGTGAGTGGAGCTGCTATTTCTAGGTCAGCAAATACAAAACTTCCGTGGTAAAATTACATTCATTTTCTTATTTTTTTTACATGTATGAAACATACAAATTGAATTAACAAGTCTTTCATTAATTGATAACAGTTAATTCTTTTCTTTGAAATCTGCACTGGAAAATTAAGCAGGATTGTATTTATCTAACACCACGTCGACAACCGCTAAAACATGAGCAAGAAGCACAACCAGATTCCATATTAGTTTGGCTCTGTCTGCTTGTTGGCTTTTATACTTCCCCGTAGCACAGAACCTCGCAACATGCTCACAGTTACTGGAGAGTAGGTCGTAATCTATCTTTTCCCTGTTTTCCAGCAAGTATTCTATCATTTCTATCATACCTTCAGGGTCTAAGCGCTTTCGATACTCGTATTTGTAAATCACGGGAACAATTTTCCTCCATTTCGATATTTTCTCAATACTTCTTTTTAATCCTATCGCCTGGGTTTGGTTTATGTCAATCCCCATACCAATGACTTCGAATGTTTTAATGTCCTCCCAAACATTGGTAACAATTCCATGATGGGTATATAACAAGCGATGGAACTTGATGTGGTCTCCTCTTTCGAGCTGGGAGATGTGTTCAACAGGAACCGTCTGAAAACGATTAAAATAAGATGTAATAATTGAAACAACACTGAACAAAAAATTAAATGTTTATATGATCAGTTTTGTTGCACTGTTTCTTCAATTTTTACAATTAGAATATGCCTAAATATAAGTTTAATTCAAAGGTAGAGATAAAACTCTAGCCTAGAGTTCTTTTTTTTTTTGTGTCGTATGTTGTATATAGAAAACAAATGTGCAATCTCAATAACTGTTGAGTAAATAATTATATCAGAGTTGTTATGATAAATTATGTTAATCTACAACATTACAAGATCGTCTCCAAGGTGCTGACAAGCCTAATAAAAGGATGTCAGTTATTATTGGAGCACATGCATGTAGCACAATTTAGTTTTTAATAGTAAATTATACATACAAGGCAAAATTCTTGTTATGAGTTTTGCCTAATATATACATTTTCCCCAAATAGAAAGATCAAATAACTCATTTTATTTGTTACATCTTTTGTCATGAATGTTTCTGTCGGTCAATCGCATTTTAAATGGAATCGCAAGTAACAATGGCTTGCTTTTAACCTTATTTGTCATAAAATACCATTCCTGAGTCTTAGAATTCAATTACGTCTTTATATATACCACACAGTTAGACTGCACTTAAGATATTTTAATTTGCTTATTGATGTAAAAAAAAAAAAAAAAAAAAAACAATCTAAAAATTTCTAAAAATCTAAAAACATTGTTAAATGAAACTTAATTCTATTTTTACAATTTGTGATTAAAAGAAAAAAACACATCAGTCGGAGTTATTAACCAGAAAAAAAAAATGAATTTAAGCTTCTATCAAAGATTAAATTTGTGTCAATAACTTTTGTTGAAAACATGACACTTTGTAAAGATAAGGCTATACATGTATAAGCTTTTTTATGACTTAATATACATTAGTTAATAACGATCGGTTAAAATTATAAAATTAAGCTACATGTAATAAGAGAAAATTAATCGTTAAGAATCAGAATGGAAAACGGTTATTTTTTTATTTGTTTTAAAGCTTGTGTTTAAGATTTACATATGAATGTAATAATGTATTTTCCCCATTGATGAAGATTTTGATGAGGCGCTTATTTTTGAATGAAATACATATGGAGATAAAGATAACGAACAGTATTCAAGCTCAAAGGCCCATGGTATTGAACAAAATTAATAGGAGTAATCCGACCTCTAAACATGAAAGCTGGGATCAGGTGCTATACTAAATGTGGCGATTTTATGCAATATGGCGCTGAATTTTTTAACTGAAGGATATGGAGATAAGGAACAGTATTCACTATCAAAGTTCATAAAACAATACAAAATAGGAGCCGAGCAAACACGGACCTCTGAAACATAAGAGGTGGAATCAGGTGTCATGGAGGAGTGAGCATCCCCTGCTGACCGGTTGCACCCGCCATGTGCTCCTTGTCATGATCGGGAAATAACGGAAAAATCCGTCGTCAATTCAGTGTTTAAATAATGGACAAACATTAAGCATGAAAAACTTCAGTCATTTGACTCAATGATAAATTGTATTTGCTGACAAGGCCATTGTATCGACCATAGAATTTACGAAATGATGACTTTAAACGAGATTGTTGATATTCTTGTTTCATCAACCTGCTTGTCAGTAATTTACCTCGTTTTAGAAATTGTTCATACGTAATTATAGCATGCTCTTGCGTATCGAATCAACTGATATATATATAAACTCCGTATGTAGGTGATGATAGTTATATTGCTGCATAAGAAAGGGAAGTTGACGATCGAAAAGTTAAAGTCATCACGTTTACCATATACATGTAGCTTGGTTGTTAGTTTACCATTAACGTCTTCTTCAAGTAAAATATCCAAGTTTTAAACAGATGTTTCAGACTGTGGTATCTTTATCAAGCTTACCAGGATATATCGTATCGACATATAGGAATTGGAATGACCATTGTTAATTGACAATTCGTCGTCGATATATCTAAAGGTCGAGTTGAAGGCCACAGCAAGTGTTTTCTTCTTTTCACGAAAATGAATTTGCACAAATTCTGCTTCATATAAATATAAAAATAGGTCGGCTAATAACATGAATAGCTGTGGCGATAGAGCATTTCACTGTTTCAAGGCTCCCACATAGAACACAGACATATACTGTATATGCAACAGTGTTTTCCTCTATTGTATATATAATTGTATTTGTACAATTTGTAATATGCCATAGTATGTTTATCCTGGGTTATAGATATATCACAAATATACATTTCACTATATGCCTTGTTACAACGCACTTTGAAAAATTACGCACTTTGAAAAAATTTTTTCAAAGTGCGTTAAATTTGGGACCACATCAACGCACTTTGAAAAAAAAATTCTTTTCAAAGTGCGTTAAATTTGGGACCACATCAACGCACTTTGAAAAAAAAATTCTTTTCAAAGTGCGTTAAAATCGACCATATTAACGCACTTTGAAAAAATGTGTAAGGCTAGGTTAATATTCTTGCAAATCTTAGTTATGATAAATAATTGAACCTTTTTGATAACTCTTCATTGATGATGAGGTCACTTCAGCGATTTTGATTTTTTCATGCTTTGAAAATTCTTTCTCTCTAAAATGTTTTACTGTACTTATTTTTTTTTCCAGTTTTCATGCATTTTATTTAAACTAAAATTTATTGAAAGTTTTCAACGTTATACAAGTTATGCAAATACATATATTTGGTGTAGCATAGACATCGGTGCCGGAAGGGGGGCTTAGGCACACAAATGTTTAGCAAAGATATACACTGTACAGAATATAGGCATTGAAAAGTGGGGCTTCCCTTGGGGGCTTGGGGGTTCCACTTTCAATTTGCTACCGACGGCTATGTACAGTATATAAGAAAAAAAAGTTAAGCTGACAGACTTTCTTCTCGTCTTCTCCTTGTTCTCATTGAGGTTAATTATAAATGAGTACATGTAAATTAAAAAGTTTCTCGAAGGATATAATTACATTTTTATGTTACAAATTGATTCTCTCAGTTACTAAAATCTTTGTCAAGAATTTTTGGTTATATACATTTTTTTCAAAGTGCATTAAAGCGGCACAGTGACGCACAAAGGGGAAAATTGACAAATGTAGAATTTTCGCATGACCTCTGTAAATTTTGTTCAATACCTAAAAGTATTCAGTTTCAGAAAATTACAGATTTCAGAACCTAAAAATTATATTTTTATGGGGAAAAATAAAAGTAAAAATAATTTCTGTCTGCCCCAGAACGAAAATATTGCAAAATACCCTGGTACTTCTTCCTCCCTATTGTACGCGTGCGCAGAAAAGTGTTGAATAAGTTTCCATAGTTACCATGGTCTCAGGTATCCACGAATGAATGTAAGAGGACCAAAAAATTTGATTTAATCTTTTAAAAAAGTTGTTAGAACATATTTCTCACCTTTGCATGCTTCAGTTGAATTTTGTTTACAAGTTCAAGCTAAAATAGGAGTTGCGTGACCTTGACATATACGAAACAACGAAACGGTAGATACAACCTTTGTTTTTCCGGCACTTATATTGTGCAGTCAATTCTTGCAGTTTAATTGTCATATCTTCGCTATATACTCATAATTTTCATAAGTCTTTCTTTGTATGCTACAGATATCTTCAAATTAAGATATGATTTTGACTCACTGTGCCGCTTTAAATGTCCACGTGGTAAAAATGTCTATGTACACTCTTACCACACTTTGAAAAAAAATTTTCAAAGTGCGTTGAGTGTGTCCCAAATTTAACGCATTTAAGAAAAATTTCAAAGTACGTAATTTTTTCAAAGTGCGTTGCCACATCGCCTACCTTATTTACAGTAGGAGAAAGACAATAAATATGGAAAATTAATCTTACCTTTGTGCAAAATAACCTTATCAGTTCATGTGCCATCGTTTTCTGTTGAAGACATTCCTATGCGAAGGAATTATATTATGCAAGAACACATGGGCTCAGTTCAGGATGGTGTATTTTGTATACTTTGCGTTTTTTGTTTTGTCTGCTCTTAATATAATTATAACGATATAAATAAAATGAAATGAAATTCGCAGTCTAAAAAATACTATTTGAAGTCAATGTACATAAAAATATACAGAGGAAGACGATCGCATATCATGGTCTCCTCTACACTTTCAAAGTTTGGAAATAATTTTAATTTCAGTGCTTACATGTACATATAGGACGATTTGTTTCACTGCAAGCATATTGTATTCGGTATGTGCAAATCGGCAGATGACAGATGGATGTGAACTACTAACAAAATTAATTACCATACTCAATTATAAGGGGACCGCTAAGGGGTACGGATAAAGTCTAGCTTAAGGACAGATGATACAAGCATTTTATTTTTCTTTCGAAGATACTTGAAATCATGTCACAGGTATGGAAAAGTGAATAATTCTAAGAGTTTTTTCTTCTAAGAAGTGCACGTGGAAAAAATAATCATACTTGCAATATATTAGTAATATTTCAATAAAAATGCAAATATGGACAAAACACAATCAATAAAACGTTTACAGATGAAAACTGATAGAGAGAATACACACATTTTTGAAAGATTATTTTTGAGTTATTTAAGACGCCAATATCTCTGAAATATCAAATTCAACAACAGGCAGCAAAGCTGATAGGAAATTGCAAGCAGTTCTAGAGATCTGTTTGTCAGGGGGGCGACAAAGGTCATTTATGCAGATTGTCAATAAGTAATGTTTACTCTCCTTCCCGAACAGAGGAGAAAATATAACAGACAGAAATAAGGCAAAACTAAATGGTGCTTTTTTGTTAGATCTAGTTCTTTAAACTGTAGATACTGACTACATTAGTAGAGAAATACATAGCAGAAGTATCTTGTCTAAATATCAATCCAAAACTAAGTACTTTTTTACTTTTTGTATAATATATTTACAAATTATTGTTTAAATCTGTCAGGTTATTACAGTTGTTAATAATAATAATAATAAAGAATAGCAGAGAGGAATAACTTCTCGTAAACTCGTAAATTCACTTACAGGGTCATTGGTCATTTGCAAAAATTATTTTGTTAAAACACATTCTAATTGCATGCACAAGTACTGTAAATCACGTTTTATTCGCGAGAACTTTATCATTCTCGCGTTTAAAAGTATTCCTTACGATTACATAGAGGAAAACAACAATTCGCGAAAAATATGTCTCGCTAATAAAGAGTCAACGACTATCTCGCGAAAATAAGGTGTTGCGAAAATTTAGTGATCTACAGTACTCTGAAGTTGACATCAAAAAGATGCGTGAGTTTCTGATTGACAATATCTATGTAGTTTTTGGATACCAGGTCTTCCAACAATCTATTGGAATTCCTATGGGTACCTATTGCACTCCATTTTTAGCAGACCTATTTTTGTATTCATATGAAGCATAATTTGTGCAAAATCTTATACGTGACAAGAGGAAAAAACACTTGCTGTAGCCTTCAACTAAACATTTAGATATATCGACGACGTATTGTCAATTAACAATGTTTATTTCCATTCCTACATGTATGTCAATACAATATATATCCTGGTGAGCTTGAGATAAAAGATACCACAGAGTCTGACACATTTGTTTCATACTTGGATCTTTTACTTGAAGGAGACGTTAATGGTACTCTAACAACTAGTCTCTATGATAAAAGTGATGACTCTAATTTTTAACTTTTCTATCGTCAACTTCCTTTACTTATGCAGTAATATACCAGTACCTTCATCACCTGTATACGGCGTTTATATATCCCAGTTGATTTGATACGCAAGAGCATGCTCAACGTATGAACAATTTCTAAAACGAGGTAAATTATTGACAAACAAGTTGATGAAACAAGAATATCAACAATCTAGCTTAAAGTCATCATTTTGTAAGTTCTTTGGTCGAAACAAAAGCCTTTTCAGCAAATACAATTTATCATTGAGTCAAATGCTGACTGACGTTTTTCATACTTATTGTTAGTCCATTATTCACTCATGAATTGACGACGGATTTTTCCTGTTATTTCCCGATCATAACATGGAGCATACGGCGGGTGTGACCGGTCAGCAGGGGGTGCTCACTCCTCCATGGCACTTGATCCCAAATCCGATGTCTTGGAGGTCCGTGTTTGCTCGGCTCCTATTTTGTATTGTTTTATGGACTTTGATATTGAATACTTTCGTTATCTCCCTGTCCTTCATTCTCAGGGTTAATACACATCAAAATGCTCCTTCCTTGCACTATAGCGACCTTGCATGACCAGGTGATCCAGAAATATCAAAACTGGTAAATGACAAAACCTTATGGTAAAATTATAATCAACTTCTTATCTGTTTTACATGTATGAAACATACAAATTGATTTAACATGCATGTCTTTTATTGATAACAGTTCATATTTTCTTCAACGTATAGACTGGAAAGTTAAGCAGGGTTGTAATTATTTAATGCCACGCCGACAACCGCTAAAATATGAAGAAGAAGGAGACCGAGATTCCAAATTAGTTTGGCCCTGTCTGCTTGTTGGCTTTTATACTTCCCTGTAGCACAGAACCTCGCAATGTGCTCACAGTTACTGGAGAGTAGGTCGTATTCTATCTTCTCCCTGTTTTCCAGCAAGAATTCTATATTTCTATCGTATCGTTAGGGTCTAACCGCTTTCTATACTCGTTTTTATTAAACAGGGACAATTTTCCTCCATTCTGATATTTTCTCAATACATGTACTTCTTTTTAATCCTATCGCCGGAGTTTGATTTATGTTGAACCCCATTCCATAACTTCAAATTAATTTTTGTGCTCCCAAACATTGGTAACTATAATGAGTAAATACCTGCAACAAGCGATGAAACTTGATGTGGTCTCCTCTTTTGAGCTGAGAAATGTGTTCGACAGAAACAGTCTGAAAACGATTAAAATAAATTATAATAATTGGAACAATGCTAACCCTCCCCCCCAACAATAAGATATTCATTTGATCAGTTTTGTTGCATTTTTCTTTAATTTACACCAGTAGAATAGTACCTGCATATAAAATTTTGATCCATATGTAGAGATAAAACTCTAACTTAAAATATTGTAACAGAAGTGCATTGCGTATACAGAAAACAAATATGCACTCTTGCTAACTGTTGAGTAATAGTGGCAGCAGACTTGTTTTGATAAAATACATTATTCTACAACATTACAAGATCGTCTCCATGTTGCTGAGAAGATGTCAGATTTTATTATTGAGGGGCACATGGAGGTAGCACAATTTAGTTTTAAAATTGTAAATTATATAAAACATGATAAAGGCAAATTCTTTTTATGATTTTTTGTCAATTTAACACTGACAATTACACATATCAACGATGAAAGAATAAATAATTCTTTTTCTTTGTTACACCTCTTATCAAAAGTGTTTTTTGTTCATCACTCGCATTTCTAATGGCATCTCAAGAAACCCTAGCTCAACCTTATTTACCATAAAATTATGTTTTTGTGTCTGGGAATTCTATAATGTCCATATGTACACCACTGCTTAAACAATTGCTTCTTGATGAAATCAACTTTCAGTCTGAACATTTTCATGAATATTTATTTCATTTTGACAATTCGTAACTAAATGAAGAAATTTAAAAAAAAATTGAAGTACAAAAAAAAAAAGATCAGGTAGGGGAATTTAACGGATCGGTAGGAGTCTTTAAGGACTTTAAGGACATACATACACAAGGTACCTTACCGACTAATAACTTTTCAAGATATTCTTAATAAAAGATTATAGTGCTATCAGATGTTCATAGACAAAAAATAAGTTTTTGGAAAATTATGCAATTTTTTGCATTATTCAAAGAAAATTATGCAAGAATTACAAAACATAAATTCCAGATTTTTTCCTATTAAAAGTTTTAGAAGAGGTGTACAAATCCATATATAACCATTAAAAGTATTGCACACAGGTCCCTCATGCAGTGCAACTCTTTATCTCCAAGGATTAGCCCAATAAAGTTCAAAATGCGTTGTGTATGACCTTAAGCAGATCCTTTTTATTTTTGGTAAAAAAAAAAAGTAAATTCAAGCTCCATGGAAAAAATCTGTGTACACATCTTTTGCTGAAAACAGCCTATTAAAGCTTTTCCATGACTTCAGTTCTGATCCGCTAAAATCACCAAATCATGTAAATGAGAGTAATTGAAACGTTAAGAAATAGAAATGGAAAACAATTTTTTTAATAATCGGTTTTAACGTTTTAATTTGAGATTTATTAATGTATGTTCCCTATTGCTGAAAATTTTCATAGAAGCATGGCGATAATATACAATATGGTGCTGAGGTATTAACCATTTTAACTGTGGTTATAAAGAATACAATGTATAACTGATTCGCGCTGCCTGATAGAGCACTGACATACATGCAACAGTGTTTTCCCCTGTGTATGGTTGCACAATATGCATATGCAATATGCCATAGAATGTTTTCCTGGGTAACAAATTAACTACAAATATATATTTAACTAAATGCAAACCTTATTTACAGTAAAAAAAAGAAATATGGAAAGTTTTACTTACCTTTGTGCAAAATAAACTAATCAGTTCATGCGCCATTGTTTCTTTTATTCATATTCTCGTCGGAAAAGAAAAGTCATCAAATTATTATGTAAGAACACAGCGGCTCGGTTCAGGATAGTGTGCTTTTTCCTAGCTATGTCTGTTTAAGATAAACTGATTATGAAACATCAAAAATCGATAAAACTCACAGTCTTAAAAAATCCTATACCATAATTTTACATACAAAGGTTAATTCTTGCAATTCCTTGTCGCCTTTGCACTTTACAGAACTCGGTTGCTTTTGATGTCATTTCTAATCATCAGAAAGCTTTGGTTCACAAAATTTTATATACGGCAAGAGGTGCAAATCAGCGGATGAAAAAAGTATATATATATATATATATATATATATATATATATATATATATATATATATATATATATATATATATATATATATATATATATATATATATATATATATATATATATATATATATATATATATATATATATATATATATATATATATATATATATATATATATATATGTTTATCAATGAAGGGTTAGTTTGGAAAATTGTTTTCCCTGCTTATTTTGTCCAAAATTGTTTGATTTGAGATTTGAAACCAAAACTACAACGCAAATGGCGGATTTTATGAGGGTCTTGTCTTTATACATGCAATGATCAAAATACCTAGTAATTCTATAAGAACCTTTCAAAGACCATTCCCGTTCAACTTGCCCTTCATTGACAAACATAATTACATTATTTCTGTAATGATGGCTTTCACTAAAGCTAATGCATTTTTTAGGAAATATATGCAATTTTTTAAAAATACATTTTTTAATTATTATGTGCTCTTAAATACTGAAACTGATGAACAATTCGGTTCATGTGAACCTGAAGCACATTTGCAGCTCTGTTCTGCAGCATGTTAAATAATAAAGAGGGTGTGTGTGTGTATAGAGCATTTATTACAAATGCCAAATGAGATTACAGATTTTACAATATCAGAATGCAGCAGAAGGTGGGGCCCAAAAACATCCCACACCTTATACCAAAGAAAACTAGTACATATATTTTCTACAAAATTAACAATAAGTACCTTAAACAAAAGAAACTAGTACATCTATTTTCTACAATAACAAAAGTCATGCAATAACAATAGGCACCTTATATAAAAAAAAACTAGTACATGTATTTTCTACAATAACAATAATTATGGAGGATTGAAGGGGTGGTGGTGGGTAAAATTTGTAAACCACATTTTGGAGCCGAAATGTTATTCTGATAAGGATAAGGCTAATAGCCGTTACTAGAGGACGCATAAGTATAAAACCCGGAAAACCCTTCGGGACCCATGATTTCAAACAAATTGGTAATTAATAAAAATATGCAATTTATTACGTATTTAGATCACATAAATTCCTTTATATACATAAATACACTTATGTGCTCTTAAATACTGAAACTGATGATGAACAATTCGGTTCATGTGAACCTGAAGCACATTTGCAGCTCTGTTCTGCAGCATGTTAAATAATAAAGAGGGTGTGTGTGTGTATAGAGCATTTATTACAAATGCCAAATGAGATTACAGATTTTACAATATCAGAATGCAGCAGAAGGTGGGGCCCAAAAACATCCCACAAGAGGGACAATGAACGTACAGAGAAGGGTCCCTCGCCCCACCCAAAAATGTGCTTCAATTACGTAATGTATACAGCTTGATAACGATGTAAACACTAACAAAACTATTCACAACATAGATCAATGGAATTCTAAGGATGGATAATAAAAATATTAACTAAGATAAAATAAATACATAATCGAAAGTCATTAACGTACCAACCAGGAATAGAATTATTGCATATCTTGACAAAAACATGTAAATAATTCAAAGAGATATAAACTATTTATACAATCCTCGATATGATACCGAACAACGAATATATTCAGTGCCGCCTAAGACAGTCACCGAATACTTCGTGTACATGTATGTAAGTTTATAAAGTGAAGACAGATAAATTCATACACAACTCGAAAGTCATTAACGTACGTACCAGGAATAGAATTATTGCATATCTTGACAAAAGCATTTAAATAATTCAAAATGATATGAAATATTAATACAATCCTCGATATGATACTCAACAACGAATATATATTCAGTGCCGCCTCAGACAGTCACCGAATACTTCATATACCTGTATGCAAGTGTATATTAGTATAAAGTGAAGGCAGATAAATTCATACACAACTCGAGAAAGTCATTAACGTACGTACCAGGAATAGAATAGTTGCATATCTTGACAAAAGCATTTAAATAATTCAAAATGATATGAAATATTTATACAATTCTCGATATGATACTCAACAACGAATGTATTCAGTGCCGCCTCAGACAGTCACCGAATACTTTGTGTACCTGTATGTAAGTGTAGTATAAAGTGAAGGTAGATAAACTATGCAATGTTAAGCTTTCTCATGCATTATTATGATATTTAAAGCATGAAATTGACGCTTTTATGAGGTTATAGTATTAACAATTAAATTTTAAAAAAAGATGCAGAAAAATAGAGGATACCTCCTCAGACAGAATCCTCTATCTAGGTATTTAATACATTCAAATAATACAGAATAAGGGATACTTTCTCAACCATTTATCCTTTACAATCAGACTTTCTACCACCCTAAATGAAAACATATATGTACTAATAGGCGGGAAAATAGGAACCTTAATGTTCTCTGGAATGACACCAGTTGCAACCATCCCATATCTCATTTTGTGAGTCTTAAAAACACTAAAAAATGTGCCAGGGTGTTGCTGTAGCAAAAAGGGGTCCTTTGCAGCTAATTTCACCTACTGCAATTGGGCTGGGATTTTATTTCTAGATAGACTTTTATTTTACCTAAATTGTATTGAAAGTTGATTCATTGTAAGACTCCTTTAAACTCCCTTGTTGTCGTGCCTGAAAAGGTATATTTCCTCAAAGCAGCAAATATGGGTTTGAGTCTGAATGAACCGCGATTTCCCTTCCTCTCAGCAAAGATAAATTACAAAAAGGAACATAACCCTGTAGCAACATGTCCGTTACTAAGAATTGGCTATCTATGGTATTGTCACTATTTTTTTTTTTATTTCGAATATTAAAAGTAATAGGCTGCACGCATCAACTGACCTAGCAAACTTTTTTGCTCCACTTAACATTTTACTGATTAACAAACGATTCAAGAAATCGGGGGTGTTTCGCATTTAAAAATAGTATATCCATGCTGCCAAGTGATATAGAGCTAGCTGATTTTCCTAAACTGAATAGGTACAGGTAAGACATAAGACATATAAACCTGTCCCAAGGAGACCACTTTAATGCACTTGGTCTATTGATCACCCTGAATGAAACCCTTAAAACAATTTAGAGCATGCCCGTACACTTACTTTGCAATAAGAGCTAAAGCGGAATCTAAAAAGAAATACGGGCTGTGTTTGGAGAGTTGAAAAATATAGATTTGTAATCTTAAATATCCACAAGCACTCTTTACCCAAAATATTGTAAAGAACCAACAATAATCTTCTTTAAAAAAATGAATTTTCTGGTGTTTGTTAAGTTTACAATATGCAATAAACAGCTGTACTATCAGATTGGAATATGACAAATGAATTCTTTAAATAAGTCCCATAATTCAACAGCCAAAACAATTGGGAATAATTCATGAGGGTAATATTGCCTTCTTTTTTTTTTTTTTTTTTTTTTTTTTTTTTTTTTTTTTGTTTTTTTTTTTTTGTTTTTGCAAGATCCATATAATTTTCTATATTCTTTTTTTTATTATTATTTTTTTTTAACAAACAATAACCATTACAGAAGAATCAGCTGTGGAGATGCATGTGTTTTGATGTAACCTTTATACATGGTATATGTTCAAATAACCACCGTATTAAGATACAAACTGTTTGTTTAAATTTCTTTGCAAATGTAGCTTTATTTTTCTCCAATTTCTCAGGTAGCAACATATTGGATTTTCCATTACCACTTGTCAAATTCAATTTAAGAAATACTAGCTTTGTAGATGCCCACGAAGTCTTTTTATCCAACACAAGTAATTCAGAGAAAATGTCCATTGACTTTACCAATCCATTATAAGACCAAAGAAAGATCTTCAAAAGTTAGCAAAAGAACTGGACAACCCAAGTGAAAACCTTATCATATAATACGAGACTTTCCCAGTGAAAGCCCAGTAGTTCATGATCCTCTTTGTGACTGGGTATACACACCAAGCTGAGATACTCAGATGGTATAAAAGATCTTGCACCCTGATGTTGTAAATCAAATCCATGCTTAATTCTGAAACCGAATGTCATTAATAATGACATAATTGCTTAGGAATAAATATTTAAGGACATTTGGGATAATAGGGGTTAAAAAAAAAACAAAACAAAACATAACTACATTACTTAAGGAATAATGTCAATTATCTGGGCTTTGCAAATTGTTCCCACACTCTAAACAAATGCATTGGAATTTGCAGTTTTCAAGCTTGCATAGCCCTTCCCTATTATATGGCTAGCAAATTTCTATGGAGTTTTGCTTCTCTCTTTTTTTTTTTTTTGAAAGCCTTAGTCTAAACCTTGATCAGAAGGGGGAGATGGAAAGACCTGTAGTTTCCTCTCTATATCCCTGTGTTTAAATGCCTGAAGCACAAATTACACACTAACCATTTCCGAAGACATACCCTTAAACTTGTCTATATATCCTAATTTGTTTATCAACAGTTTGTCAAGGTTTACTTCTAGATGATGCCAAATCATGACTTGTCTCTGCATGATTTACACAAAACTGTGTTTCATTTGGGAATTTTCTAGTATAGACAGAAATCAAATGCATAGATTGCTGTTTTCCACTGAAATATAGTATTGATTGTTTGATCTGTATTTCTGGGTGCTACTGAAATGTTAGAGTTAAAATCAATGTGTACCCATTATTTTGGTGGTAGGCACAAGACTGACAAAAGGTGGTGCTCCAAGGTCAATATATTGCTCTTCCTAAGTCTTTTGTTAAAGCATTTATGGAATCAGTGCTAAAATAAAAATTGAT